TAAAGAAATCATATGATCGTGTTAATAAAAGCATTGACAAAATAAAACATCAAATGATAACAGTTCTCAGAAACACAGGAATAGAGAACTTTCTCAACTTAATAAAGAATATCTACCAAAAATATGTATTGTTAACATCATACCAAATGTAAATACTAGGTATGATCCACATAAGACAGGATGCCCCCTTGACCAAGGTTAACCACAGTATAGAGGTCCAAAACATGACTCAAGATACTTAATCAAAAAGTATGTAAAGTGACAAGGGAGAAACAAAATTACCTTTATTCAGGTAACATAATGAAGTACACAGAAAATCCTAAGTAAAAAATTTCCTGCAAGTAAGAAAGGTTGCAGTATATAAAAGCTCGATTTATAAAGCATTGATGGTTTTTCCTATACAAAAAAAAATTTCTTGACTTCCCAGCCTTTAGCATAAGAGCAAGTGCAGAAAATGACCTAAGGGAATTTAAAATAAGAAACAAAATACTACTGAGAGAAGCACCCTCCCCAAAAGTAATACTTAGTAATAAATTCAATAATGTATGTATATTACCTATCAAAAGGAGGGAAGGGATAGAAAAAAATGTTTATAATTTTTTTGAGAATTTCATAATAAGTACATAGTATTTAATTCATTTTTACCTTTCTGTATCCCTTCTCTAAACTCCCCCTCCTCACTCCCTCTGGAATTCATGGCCTCTCCTTTTATAATTATTATTGTTAACGTATTTTCTATTACTGAGTCCATTTAGTGTTGCTTATATGTACATGTATTTAGGGTTGATCACTTGGGACTAGAAAACCTAAACCAGGACTCGTCCCTGGAGAAAACCAATTCTCTCTCACTCAGCAGCCATTGACTGCCTATAGCTCTTCAACAAGGAGTGAGGCCTTGTGAAGTTTCCCCCATCCCCACTGCCACATCAACTGGTGTGGGGATTGTACAGGACTTGTTTTGGTTGCCATATTGTTGAGAAAAAGATAATTTTATGGAAAGGAATATCAAAGAAGACAAAGTACCTATACTTAGACAAAAAAGATATAAGAAGAGACAAAGAAGGTCATTATATAAAGGCAGTCTATTTTGTGGAAAGGAAATACTAAAAATACATATGCATTCTACATCACAGAACTTAAATTTATAAAACAAGTATTTATATACTTGAGAGGAAAAGCATGATTGAATTCAATCCTACCTGAGACATCATCACACTATTTTTAGTAATAGACATGTCATCCAGACAGAAATTCAGTAAGGAAACTTCAGATTTAAAGTACACTTACTATTAAAGAGACTTAATATACACTGGCAAATATTCCATCCAACAGTTGAAGATGAGATTACATATTATTCTCAAGGACACAGGAAAGACTGTCCAGGATACATTATAAATTAGGCTACAAAACAAGTTTTAACAAATTTCAAAATTGTCTCAAATATCTCGTCTGTCCAAAATAGTACCTAACTAGAAATCAACAGTAGTAATGATAACTTTACAAAATTCAAAAACACATGAAAATTAAACAAGAATTTTCTGAACAACCAATTGAGTCAAAGAAAAATTCAAAAGGAAAATATAAAGTTGCTCGAGACACCTGCAACATGCCTCAGTGGGTAAAGGTGCATGCCATCAAGCCTGACATAGTGAGCTGGACTCCAGAAACCATGATGGAAGGGGAGAAATGACTCCCACAAGTTGTCCGCAGACTTCCACATGCACACAGTAGCAAACACACATACACGCACACACAAATGTAAATAAATAAAGAAATAAATATTGCTCAGGAAACACAAAGGCAGTATCACAAATTCACAGGATATATAAAAAGAAGCTCTGGGGCTGGAGAGATGGCTTGGTGGTTAAGAACACTGTTTTTGCAAAACACCCGGGTTCGAATCCCAGCACCCACATGGCAGCTAATAACTGTCTGTAACTCCAGTTCCAGGAGATCCGATTGCCTCTTCTGCCCTCCACGGGCATTGCACAACATGGTGCACTTACTTACATACAGGCATAATACTTATACATACAAAATATAATAATAAATAATAAATAAAATATTTTTTTAATTTAAAATACTTTTTTTTAAAAAAACAAGAAATATCTAAAATAACTTAATTCTTCTTACCAATGAATTAGAAAAAAGAAAAATAGTCCACAGTAGAAGGAAATAATGGAATAAACTGACATAAGCACAACAGATTTTTAAAACAAAAAAGAAAAAAAATAGCTAAAACTAAGCATCGGGGTTTTTTTGAAAAGATAAACAAAACCAATGTACCTAGAGTAAAAAAACAAAAAAAGACAGAAATAAAATAAAATAAAAACTGAAGGAGACATTACACCTGATGCAACAAGTATATAATGGATCCTGGGAGACTACTCTGGGGTAATCACACTGTTCAAAAAAAAAATCATGTAACCTAGTAGAAATATAAACCCCAGTCACATATAACCAACCAACATTTTCAATATTGGGTCCTTAAGAAACAGAAAAGCTAAACACATCAGTAAGGAGTAATAAAACTGAATGAATTATAAAGAGTCTCATAAGAGAGAATAGCCCAGGGTATGAGGGCTTCACTACTGAACTCTACTAAGCCTTTACAGAAAAACTGATACCAATTCCCAACCAACTTAGTAACACATTCAAAAGGTAACTGACTATGATGGAGAGGATACATCTCAGGAAGCAAAGATGATTCAACAAATGAAAACAAACCATAAATATGATACACTATATATTACCACACTGATAGAACAGACAAAAATGGCATGATCATTTCAACAGATGCAGGGAAGGCGATGAAAAAGAACTCAGCATCCTTTGGTGAGAGCCAAACCAAAAAATATTCAACACATTAGCTACAGAAGAAATGTACCTCAATACACTAAAGGATACATAGGACAAACTCAAAGATGATATGCTAGATGAAGAAAACGTCAGCTAAAATAAAACCATTAAGCTAAATATAGGAAGCCACATACAAAATGCAGCACTTTTATAATTCCATTTATAAAAAATTCTCAGAAAAGAAAAAACCACAAACATAAAATACAAATTAGTAGTCATCAGGAGCCAGAAAAAGGAGAAACAAGGTAGAAGATTCACTTCTTGAGTGATAAAAGTATTGTGAAAGTAGAGGTGATAGTTTCCCAACAATTTAATGTATTAAATTCCACTGAATTCTACACTATTAAATAGCCAGTTTTGCATTTGCCTCAGCTCTAAAAAATAACCTACTTATATATTTTAGTAATTTGACTAACTTGGAAGAATAATGTAGTAGAATCGGTGTGGGTTTAGGTTCCGAACTGTCACTTTTAGATGCATGACATAAGCAAGTGGGTTATGTTCTCCGTGCCTTAGTTCCATCTCTAAAGTCAACTTAATAAAAGCACATGTGATTAAAATAAACTGGCACATCTAAAACACTTAGAATGATGCCTCACAAAGAGGAAGCAATTAAATTGGGTTCGATGGCTTTAGTTGTCAATTTGACACACCTGGATTAAGGAGCCTCAACTAAAAAATTGCCTCCATGTGGCCTATGGCCATGTCTCTAAGGCATTTTCTTGATTACTGAGTGAAGTGGGAGGGCTCAGTTCATTCTGGGCAGTACCACCCCTGGGCAGGTTGTTTTGTATTGTTTAAGAGAACAGTTTGAGCATGTGCCAGGGGAGCAAGTCAGGAAGCAGCATTCCTCCACAGCCTGTGCTTCAGCTCCTGCCTCCAGGCTCCTGCCCTGAATTCCCATCTTGGGCTCCCTCAGTGATGAACTGTGACCTACAAGATGTAAAACAAAATAAACCTTTTCCTCCCCAAGTTGGTACTGATCAGAGTGTTTTGTCACAGCAATTGAAAGCAGACTAGAACATAAATATTAGCCAATAACAAATAATTATTTTTAAGTCTGTCAAAAAAAGTTTATGGTTACATTAAAAGAAAAGAATTCTAAGATTTTTTTTGTTCAAACATGATATTAATTCAGAAATGTGTTAGGGCTTAGTGGTTAACAGCACCTGTGCTAGTTCAAAGAAACAGAGTTTGGTTCCTAGCACCTACGTCAGGCAGTTCACCTGTACCTGTAACTTATATGACACACAGGCACCTACACACACACACACACCTCTAAAAATGAGAAATCTGTTAATACACCCTAACTCAGAAGCACATTCTCTAAGAGCTTAAACCAAAGATCTACCATTTAACTCTACTTTCTGTGATGAGTCCTGAGTCCACAGCCAAATGATGTATGATTGAGAGACTGGTTAGCAACTCTCCATAGCACTCATGTAGTAAACACAGAAGATAGTGTGCTATTTCAGAAAAGTGAGTGGTAAAAGATATAGCAACAACAAAAACAGGTTAGAACTGAATAATGTCAAACCTAAATAGAACATGACATATCACTGAAATTTTAAAAATACTTCAGAGAATTTTAAACTTCTCATTAAATACTTCAAAAATACTTCAAATCAAAAAGGAAGCAAATCAGCACAGCACTTCTGTCAAATTTAAATAGTGGCATATGTGGCACTGGGGACTATGCAACCAAAGAACCAAGGGAACAAATTCCCTTCTGCATATAGCAGAATCTAACGTAAGAGAGGCAGAGACAGCTGGGCATGGTGGCGCATGCTTTTGATCTCAGCACTCAGGAGGCAGAGGCAAGTGGACCTCTGTGAGTTAAAGGCCAGCCTGGTCTACATAGTGAGTTCCAGACCAGCTGGGGCTACAGGGAGACCCTGAGAGGCAGGTGGGTCTCTGTGCGTTCAAGGCCAGCCTGGTTGACGTACCGAGTTCCACATCATCTGGGGCTCCCTGTCTCAAAGGGAAGAGAAAAAGAAAAAAAGAAAAAGGGGGGGGAGGGAGTCAGAGGCTTGGAATAGCGCTCAGCTCTCCAGTGTGAGCTTACAGGCACACACACCTTTAAAGATTGCAAGTAAAGCACTCATTTAAGTAGAGTGAAGTGAATACATTCAACTTCTTACCCTCTTCTGCTTCATCCTCCTGGGGTGACATTGGACCCCCTCCACTAGTAGGAGTGATTGGCTCTTCCTTGTCAGACTCTCTCTGTAGACTCACAACTTCATATATTGCATCTCCAACACTGGTATGGTCTTTTCCGTCAGACTGAGAAAGATATAATCATATATTTAATTATTAGAAATACAAAGGAGCCGGGCGTGGTGGCACACACCTTTAATCCCAGCACTCAGGAGGCAGAGGCAGGTGGATCTCTGTGAGTTTAAGGCCAGCCTGGTCTACATAGTGAGTTCCAGGACAGCTGGGGCTAAAGGGAGACGCTGTCTCAAAAAGACCAAAAAAAAAGGAAAAAAAGAAAAGAAATACAAAGGAAATACTGAAAAAGTTTTACAACACATCACATTTATCTAGAGTGTGTCTGAATTTGAAAAAAGATTACATTATCACTGACATATTTTTAAAAAGAATAGTTCAAGGGGGCTGGAGAGATGGCTCAGTGGTTAAGAGCACTGACTGCTTTTGCAGAGGACCCTGGTTCAATTCCAAGCACCCACATGGTGGCTACAAACCATCCTTAACTTCAGTTCCAGGGGAATCTGAAGCCCTCTTCTGACCTCTGTGGCATTGCACGACACAAGTACACTCACATACATGCAAGTGATACACTCATACACATAAAATAATAAAATAATAAAATTTTAAAAAAAAGAATGGTTCAACTATCACTTTTCTCCTAGTGCTAGGGATTGAACCTACGGCCACATACATGTTGGCAACCATCTAGCATATATTAACAAATGCAACTTTATAACCATTTTGACAGAACTCTGTTATTCTTTGGCAAAGATACCACAAATTTTTAAATTTTATTTTTTATCATTTTTTAGCAATTTTCATATAATATACTTGGATAGTATTTAGCTTCCCTCTGCTATCCTCACTTCTCCACAATTGTCCCCCCCCCACTCAATGTACTCTAATATATATAAAACAGCCTATAAAGTCTGATTTGTATCACAAATGCCCTTCAGCGTGGGTCAATCCACTGGGCCCACCTAACAGTCCCATCCCTATAAGACACTGTCTTTCACCCTCCCAGCAGTCATCAAGTGCCCAAAGTTCCTTATTTTGAGTTGAGATTTCTTACCCACTTCCCCTATCTATTTTGGGACTGTGTCTGGTTTGAGCTTACATAGGACTTATACCACAAGTTTTAGGGCAGAGCGCAAATGGTGTTAAGTTTCTTATACAGAGGCAGACAGAGGCAGACCTAGCAGCTCTACTCACTGTTGGGAAAAAAAATGAAATACCTTGATGAATGCTGTAAGAACTCTGCATTTTGATAGAAAACTCTGTTTAAAATGTTGATTTAGATTTACTTGCTAAGCTTGCCTGTTCTGCCTGATTGTATCTACCACACATGGATGATTAACCTAGTTGAAATGCTAAGAATTGAAGTGCTGTAAACCTCCTTCCTGGACCCTGGACCC